TGATGTGATGAGGCGCTGTATCGAACGCAAGGACTGTTATTATCTCAAGGCTTTAGGCGACCTCCTCAAATGATTTGTACAAAAATAAGCCGTGGTATCGACACTATAATCTAGAAACGAAAGAAAAACAGCGTAATTTCTTGTTATTAGACTTATTGGACAATGTAATAGTTTCACAGCTCTTTGGTCATTCTGTACAATCATTTTGTTTTCCTCTGTGGGTTGCGACGTCTCGAAGCGCTTCACAGAATATGTGGTAAAAAGTGAATTGGCTTTACATGAGCAAAATAAATGTTAATCTTGCCATTGCGGAATTGGCTGGAGGAATATGTGCGGGAAAACGACGAAACGAACCATCAGCCTTAAAGATCCCGTGAAAATCATGTTCATTATGAATTTTCTTCCCCCACCGCCCCCCAAAAAAGGGTTATTTCCTTTTTAAGGAGACAAACTCGCCTTTTTGGGGGCATTGTCACATTGACCCCTGTACCTTCCAATAATTTATATCTCTCTATGTCTTTCTCCCATTCCCTGTTTCTCTGTCTCCCTCCCTCCCTCTTTCTCTCTCACTCTCTCTCTCTCTCAGTCTTTCTCTCTGTCTCACTCCCTCTGTTTTGCTCACTTTGCCTGTGTGTGTGTGTATGTGTGTGTGTATATGTGTGTGTGTGTATATGTGTGTGAGTCTCTCCCTCTTTCTTTCTCTCCCCATTCCTGACCAGGAATCCTCTACATTACATTGGTGGGATTTTTTTGCCATGAAGTGGAGAAGCATTAACCCACACCCCCACCCACACATACACACACACACACAAGAAAAAACAGTCACCACACTTAGCTATTAACTGTGAAGCACTTTGAGACCATTACAACCTGCAAAATAATACTCTATTCTGTGTTAAACCCTTTTTCCTGACCTCTACATAACATCAAATTAACAACCTCTCTCTATAAATACTGATGATATGAAGGAACCACATTGCTGCAATCTGCAATGTTTATTTCATGTAATAAATGGTGATACTACTATTATATTATTTCGCTCACAGAACATACAGTCAATTCACTTGACAGCCACGAAGATGTGATCAGGATTATTCTCATTGTATTATTATTGTAGTTATTAAAATCATTCCAGAACTTGGTGGGAATGCCACAAGTGCAATGCAATGCAAAGCATTTGCAATTATTATTCCTGATGATGACGATGAAGTAAGTCGTGGACGAAATAGTTTGGGTTCACTCACTCACTCACTCACTCACACACAAGAAAAAAAAAACTCGGAATAAATCCCAATTAAAAAAACAAACCGGTGCGTTTCTATGCTTTTATTTTTTTTCTAAATAGAAACTCTGGACAATCTCACTTGGAAAACACTTCCCAAATGGACAGTTCTCCTCTTCCCCTAATCGACTGCAATTCTGGGAGAGAGAGAGAGAGAGAAAGAAAGAAAGAAAGAAAGAAAGAAAGAAAGAGAAAGAGAGAGAGAGAGAGAGAGAGAAATATGACTAAGATGTGTTTGCAAAAATGCACATAAAAAGAAATACAATTGCACACGTACACCAAATAAAATCCGAATAAAACTAAATTCGAAGGGGTGGCAAAGTCGGTCACTTACTTAATTATCACAGGGACTCACAGGGGAACTCGTTCCCCCCTCTCAATTTCAACCACAATTTAGCAAACAGTCGTGAAATTGATTGAGAAGCCACAGAGAGAGAGAGAGAGAGAAAAAAAAATCCACGCAACTCACTGCGCAAAAGAAACCCTGTGCGAAATGCTCAGTGCTTTGGCTTTTACGCATTATATATATATATATATTTTTTGGGGGGGGGGGGGTGGGATGGGAGAGAGAATAAGATAATTCCTCCCCCTTTTTTTTTGGCTGCTTCTTCTCCCCACTTTCTTCCCCCCTCCACCCCCCCCCCCCCCAACCCCACACACATCCCTCTCTCTCTCTCTCTCTCTCTCCCCCCACCCCACATACACACCCACCCCCTCCCAATCCCCCCCCCACCCCACTCCCTCTCCATCCCTCCCTCCCTCCCTCCCATCACTCCATATATAATTTAAAAGAAAGATTTGCTAAGATGTTTAATGAGTGAGTGAGTGAGTGAGTGAGAGAGAGAGAGAGAGAGAGAGGGGCGTCTTGGTATGACAGTAACAATGTGGACCTCTCCTCCAAACCCATCCCACCACCACCTCCCCTCCCTCCCTCCCTCCCTCTCTCTCTCTCTCTCTCTCCCCCAACCCCCCCCCCCCCCCCATCCCCAACCTCCCCCCCAACCACCACCCGCAGAAAATGATCCAACAATAGCAGTGAAGTGGCTCTTCACATAGACATGAACGCTTTCTAATCCTGTTGTGTTGCAGATAGAGGATGATGGACAGATTGATGGAGAGTCCTTGCAATCTCCCGGACAGGCAATAAGGGAAGAATGTGTCTCCTTTGCATCATTGTTCCTCTCCACTCCAGGGCTGGTCGGACCCTCTCCCAACCCTTCATCCAAAGGGATAAAAAGACAGGGGAGAGGGAGCTCCGATTGAATGAAGCTCCCGAGTTAGTTTTGGGGGGCAAATAAACTGTGTCATCTTCACTGACCTTCTCCTTTCCTCTCCAACCATCCCTCCTCTCCAACCATCCCCATCCCCATCCCCTCCCCATCCCCACACACACACACACACACACAAAAAAGGAAGCACAATGAAGATTTTGACGTTGCTTTTGGGAGTGAAGACACTGTGTTTCTTAACGTTCACTTCACTCTCTCATACTCTGGCAGTCAATAACAGTGGCAGATGGTGGTGAGTTGTATTTTTATGTACACTTATTCATTAGACTTTTAATTGTAATCGAATGTAAGCAGTGTGTGTGTGTGTGTGTGGGGAGGGGGGGGGGGGGTGGGAGGTGGGGTGGGTGGGGGGGGGGTTGTGGGTGGGGAGGTTGAATGGAGAGAAAAAAAGACAGAAAGAAAAGAACAGACAGTCAACTTGGACAGTAGTTAACAGGTGTGATTGTGATCCTGAGAGCTGGTGAATTCGGATTTCTTCCAATAATAATAATAATAATGTGGTCACTTCAATCCATGGCTGTTTGTGGGGGGTGTGGGGGGTATGGGGGGTGTGGGGTGGGGGAACGTCGCTGGGCGCAATCGGCTGCCGCGTTTCGCCCGCAAAACGCACAGTCACTTCACTTTACGGAGTATTCCGTGAAGCGCTTTGAGACGTCTCGAAGGCGCGATAAGGCGCTGAGTCAAATCCAAAGGGTCGTTAGTACTATTGTTATCGTGTTCCGTGAAAGGCTTTGAGTCATCTCGAAGACGCGATAAAGCGCTGAGTCAAATGCGTAGATAGTTACGATTATTATTATTATTATTATTATTATAATAAATTGCGGATATCGGGTTCCTGATCCCTGACTGTTCAGCTGCTTGGGACGTCCTCCCGACGTGAAAGAACGGAATTACAAATATAATGCTGTTGTGGTCGTACTTAAATGGATTGATGGCATTTTTTTTGCGGGGGTGGGGGTGGGTGGGGTGGGGGGAGATATTTCAAATCATTTGGTTATTCACGGGATAGTGGGGGGGTTTTGGGGGGTGGGAGGAATAGGTTGATTTTATAGTATTATTACTATTATTAGAGTGAATTAAGTTTTTTTTTTTGGGGGGGGTTTCTCAAACTGGGTCGCTGTTTCTAGGGGGATCGTGAACATACCTTCTTCCTCCAACCTGCTGACCGACTCCAAGTACGTGCAGTTGGTGTTGGACCCCAGTTTGCAGCTGTTGAGCAGAAAGCAACGCAAATTGATCCGGCAGAACCCAGGGATACTGCACTCCATCACCAACGGCCTGCAGATGTCCACCAAGGAGTGCAAGTGGCAATTCCGCAACCGACGCTGGAACTGTCCCACCTCCCAGACCCCCAACATCTTTGGGAAGATCGTCAACAGAGGTGAGAGTAGCTCATGCGCCCCCACACCCCCCACCATCACCCCCCCCCCCCCACCCCCACCCCACCCCCAATCTGGCTCCATTAGATTTGGCTCACAAATCCATCCCCAAATGATCAGCCAACCTCCAAGTCAGTTCCCAATCCACTTCAGCTCGAAATGCAGCAGATCAGCGTTCCTCTCAGGGGTGGCGGGAGAGGGGGGGACGGGAGGAGAATCCAGAGCAGTTCCTCAAACCCAGTCTCCGGGCTGATCCGGGAGCTGTTTCATACCCGATGTTGAGTGCCACAGCAGATGCGGGAAGGTATCTCGCCCCCAGCCACAGCTCCCAGATCTATCTGGATTTCAGCCTCAACCTCCATCCCCGACCTGCCCGTTAGAGGGGCTGAGCCCCGAGTCAGGAGGAACATGTGAACCCGATCCAAGTCCAACAAGGAACCCGTTAACCTGAGCAGATAACCTGTCTCACCCAGGCTAACCCTCCACCAGCACCTGCTGGCTGGAGACATGCGTTGGGCAGATACCCTCAAATAAGATACGGTCAGTCATAACTAGCCCCCAACGTTAGAAACTGCAGCCTAATTGGGTTCTTCTCCCATGTATTGGACACCAGACAAGCTATTGCTCAGGCATTGATTGAGACAGAGGATCATAGGGCGAGGGATGGATTTGACTGATCTGATCTGCTCCTTGACTTGTAAGTTCTTCTTGTGAAGTTGACTCAACTTAGGGTTGAGTGTACAGAACTGTACCTTGGAAAGGTTTTGCGAGCGCTTCCTCACCCCCACCCAATAGCTGATCCAATTTGGAGCGAGACACGCACAGCCAGAGAGGGAGAGAGGGGCAATTAACAGCAATTAACATCAACTTGCTCCCCCACCCCCCACACAGGTTGCAGAGAGACAGCCTTCATCTTCGCCCTGACCAGCGCGGCAGTGACCCACTCGGTTTCCCGCTCCTGCTCGGAGGGCTCGGTCGAGTCGTGTACCTGTGACTACAAGCGGCGAGGCCCGGGAGGGCAGGACTGGCACTGGGGCGGCTGCAGCGATAACATTGAGTTCGGCCGCATTTTCGGCCGCGAGTTCGTAGACTCGAGCGAGAGGGGCAGAGACCTGCGTTACTTGACCAACCTGCACAACAACGAAGCTGGCAGACTGGTAAGGGCGCGCGGCAACTGGTCACATCAACACCCACACCCAACAGCAGCTGTCAGACACGGCAATAATAATCCTTGCGTTTCCCACAGCGCCTTCGAGACGTCTCACAGGCGCTTCACACGATATGCTGTAAAGTGTAGTGACCGGGTGTTTTGTGGGCGAAACGCGGCAGCCAATTGCGCACAGCGGCGTCCCCCACAAACAGCAGTGTATTGAGTGACAAATTTATTATTTTTTTTTGGTGGGGGAGGTGGGGGGGGAAGGAATTATTACCCCCGGAAAAGCGATCCACCAATCGACTAACAACCGGGTTCCTGCTTACTGCGACAGAGTAAGTGTGTGTGTGTGTGTGTGTGTGTGTGTGTGTGTGTGTGGAATCGAGCCCGGTTTCCTCTCGCTTGCGAGGCGAGGGCTCTGACCACTGAGCTACAGGACTCCACGTGCATTCAAGAGGAAGCTAGACCTTCGCACGAGGGTGTGGGAGAGCGAGAAGAGTAAGGGGAGACTCGTGGGGAGTGTAAACAGCGAGTGGCCTGATTCTGTCGCCCGTGCTGTAAACAATCTACGTATATAAATCTCCGTTACACTAAACACCAATGATCCATTCAACGGAAGTGCATAACTATTAGGAGCAAAGCCAACCAACACCACAAAGTGTTGGGAGTCCTGTAGCTCAGTGGTTAGAGCCCTCGCCTCGCAAGCGAGAGGACCTGGGTTCAATTTCCAGACAGGGCAAAACTTTGGGCAAGTTTCCTTACTCCCCCCCCCCACACACACACACACACACACACACACCTCTGTTTACTAAGCAGTCAGTAGGAACCCGCTTGTTAGTCGATTGGTGGATCACCTTTCTGGGGATAATTATCCTTTTATTAAAAACTATATATATATATATTAACAAAATGTGGTCACTCAATCCGCGACTGTTTGTGGGGGCGCTGCTGTGCGCAATTGGCTGCCGCGTTTCGCCCGCAGTTCACGAAATACACGGTCATTCCGCTTTACGTTTGCTTTATATTCCGTGGAGCGCTTTGGGACGTCTCGATGACGTGATAAGGCGCTTATGCCAAAAGGTCGGGATCACGGTGATTGTAGTGACTGCATTTGGCGGGCAAACAGACGTGGAGCTCACCGGTGGAAGCTGCGGTCGGAGCGAACGGCATCACTGCACGTTAAGAGAAAACCAGGGAAAACGCATGGGGGAGAAGGGAATAGAGAGACGCAGGCGAAGGGAGTAGGAAAGGAATAGACTTGAGCGGTGTACTGAACACCAACGTGGAATAGCCGGGCAGAGTGGCTGTATCATTCTCTGGAACCGTGCCACATCAGTATTGAGGAGGAATAATAATATTATTCCTTGCATCTGATACAGCGCCTTATCACGTCTCCGAGACGCCTCAAAGCGCTTCGCAGAAATGTACTGTAACGTGAAATTGACTGTACGTTTTGTGGGCGAAAGGCGGCAGCCAATTGCGCACAGCAGCGTTCCCCCCCCCCCACCACCCGCCCCCCCCCCCAACAAACAGTCGTGGATTGAGTGACCGAATTATTACCATTTTATTTTCGAATAGTCAAAATACTACGTTTGGTGGAGGTAAACAGAGGGGAAGGTTAGCGGAATCGTCGAACAGTGGATCCGATTAAGTCGCGACCGAGCAGTAAATACAGTGAGCGACGGGTGGGGCGAGAGAGAGCGAGAGAGAGAGAGAGAGAGAGAGAGAGAGAGGAAGAGCGATGGAAAATGAGATTAATAATTAAAAAAAGATTTTGTTTGGTTTTTTTTCCCCCAAAAAAAATCGGCAGTGGAACAGAATGTCCCTCCTACTGTGCAGAAAAGGTCTGTTTCTCTACTTAAACCGCGCATTATTCTCTCCCTTTATATAAATTTACCTCATTTAACCACAAAAACCAAATCTTTCAATCATTCTACATCTGTTTCTCCTCCTTCCCCCCTTCCCCCCCCCACCACCCCCCACACTCCCCCAAACCCCCCCCCCCCCCTCCGCCCCACCACCGTAACAAAGCATCAGATCACTAATAGCTGCTCTGTTATTCAAAGAGGTTCTGCTGCTTCGCTGCCTCTTTCTCATTAACTAATAGAAAACATGTGCGCGCCTTTTTATTTTGCTCTTGTATAACCTCGGCTGGGAAACGGGAAGCGCATCAGATACTGTCTTGGGGAAGGCCAGCATGTTTCACTGTAAACACCAACGACATGTCCCAGTTCGTCTCACAACCCGACCGCCATTTGTGAGGGTTCAAGCCCCCCCCCAGGTCGGGACTTTGAACGCGTCCGGTCGAGGCTGAACCCTCGAAATCAGGGCGGGGGGTGGTGCTGAGCTTTCGGAGTTGCCATCCTTCGGATGAGGCGTTAAATCAGGATCCCTTCTTCTGGGATCAAAGATCCTTTGACAATATTCCCTCTCTCTCTCTCCCTCCCTCCCTCCCTCTCTCCACCCGCCCCCCCCCCCCCCCCCCGCCACCACCCCCCACCCCGGTGTCCTGGCCACCAATCCCCTCAATATCATTTGATCTGATCATTTGCTTTCGTGGCAGTTTGTGGGCATTTCTGTGCGCAAAATGAGGTTTCCACGTTCGCCCACAAAAAAAACACAATCGTCCCATCTTACAGTGTATTCAGTGAAGCACTTTAAGACGCCCTCCTGACGTGGAAGGAGCTACAGCAAATGATGGTTATTATTCCAGTTTAAATCACTGTACGGAGGTAGTTTCTTAAGTGTTTTTCGGCGATGGTCAATATTGCTGCCACATTACATCGGAGTGGATGTTACTTTTCTTGATATATTTACCTTCCTGATGTAGCTATGTTTTACAGGACGTGATATTCTGTTCACCAGCTATTTTGTCAAGCCCTTTCGGAATAGTGTTATTAACAGTCCCAGTTGTACAGATGAATACCGGAACTGTGTTTGTTTTATGCCGCCATGTATAACTGCATTCAATTTGTAGAGCGATATATTTCCTGACCTTCTCTAATTCCTTATTTCTTATGTTCCGTTATGTTCCAGGCCTCGGGACGTCCTCCCGACGTGAAAGGCGCTCTATAAACGTAATTTTGTTGTTGTTGTTGACGTCGTAATCACTCGGGGTTACAGCCACATCAATGAAAACCTTTCAAAATAATAATAATAATTTGGTCACTGAATCCACGACTGTTTGTGGGACACTTCTGTCGCATTTCGCTCACAAAATTATAGTCACTTCCCTTTTCAGTATATTCTGTGAAGTGCTTCGAGTTGTCTCAAAGAAGTGATGAGGTGCTATATCAAATGCAAGAATCATTACTATTATTAATAATACTACGTGTATAATCTATTTGGTTCTTGCTGCCAATAGCTGTCTTGTTACAGATTACTGTTCTAACCGTACAACCTTGTGAATCCGAAATCATTATTATTATTATTATTATTATTATGGGCAGGTGATTTGCAAGCCTATATTTAAGGAATATCATCCAACAAAAAAATTCAGCACAGAAGGAGGTCATTTAGCTTTGCGTACGCTCTATCGGTTTTCGTTTAATCCCACTCCTCGTGCCAATACTCTTTTCTATTTATAGACTCAAAACTTCCCAAATCATGCGCTGTGTCTAAGGAAGTTCAGTATTAAGTACCCTTTGCAGATGCTATATATACAGGGCACAATATCAAATGGCAGGCGTGGGTTGAGTCTGAAGTTGATCAGGCATGAAATGAGCCGTAGTCCGATAAATAGCCATAAAGGTGTACTTGTGATGAGTTAATCTGGCAGGAATAGTTCTGTGAAAACCCCACCGTCTGCTCGATAGTTTGGGGGCAGTTGAAAGGTTCCAGCCGTCCATTAGTCTATCACAATCCTTGCATTTCGATGCCTTCCGGACGTCTCAAAGCGCTTCGCAAAGTTGACCGTGAAAAGCGCTTGCAGACCGTACATTGGTGGGTACGCCCGGCAGCTGACCTGCGACCGGGTCCATGTCCCCGGCAAACCCACGCTAGACTTCCAAGCCCGCTGCCCCCTTCGTAGCCTCTAAAAAGCATTCATCCGCTATCATCTCGACGTTCCGCTCATACAATGAGTAACCGCAAACATACAGGATCCTCGACCATCTATTTCCAAATCCTCTGACTCCCAGCTCTTGCTATGCAAGCGGGAAGTTTATGTGTGACTAGGCATAAACAGAGACGTGCCAGTGAGTTGAATGTGGTCATAAAACCTCAGTTTTACTGACGTTGACAGAAACCCACTGTACTTTCCTTCTCATGGCTTATGTCATGACATCAGCAGAACAATTCAGTTCGAATTCCTGGAGTCGTAATGAATGTTCCAGCTTGGGCATTCTTGTTTTTTTCTCTCTCTCTCTCTCTCTCTCTCTCTCTTTCTTTTTTTTTGTCTCGGGAAGAAAAGGGACAGCAAAGCTAACTGAAACAAGGAGTCAGCAATTTGTGGGTTTCAAAACCCTCGAACGTTTAACCGTGAGCGACATTGAAGCGGGACGATGTTTGGTCTGACTTAGCTTGGAGTGATTTTATTAATCATAATGATAAAAATAATAATAAGCCTCGCCTTTGATACGGCTCAAACCGCTTCGCGGGAATACCGCCGTAGAGTGGCGTGACCGCGTGTTATGCGGGAGGAATGATTGTGGGTGGGGGGTGGGCGGCAGTGATGGAAGAGGGAGAAGGGCGACTTACCCACGTGAACACTGGCGGATGGAGCTCCCGGGGATCGAACCCGGGAGCCCCCCCCACCCCCTCCACTCTCTTTCCTCTCTTTCGCTTGCGAGGCGAGCGCGCTGACCGCTGAGCTCCGGGGCATCGCAGGGCACGCAACTGACTGTCTCTCTTTCTCTCTCCCTCCCTCGCAGACGGTCCACGCCGAGATGCGCCAGGAGTGCAAGTGCCACGGGATGTCGGGCTCGTGCACGGTCAAAACCTGCTGGATGCGCCTGCCTGCCTTCCGCACGGTCGGCGACCTGCTGAAGGACCGCTTCGATGGCGCCTCCCGGGTCACCTACGGCAACAAGGGCAGCAACCGGGCGTCTCGGGCCGACATGAGGCACCTGGAGCCCGAGAACCCGGCCCACAAGCCCCACTCGCCCCAGGACCTGGTCTACTTCGAGAAGTCGCCCAACTTCTGTGCCGCCAACGGCAAGATGGGCACCGTGGGAACCGCCGGCCGAGCCTGCAACAACACGTCACTGGGTCTGGACGGGTGCGACCTGCTCTGCTGCGGCAGGGGTTTCCGCACGAGGACGGAGAGGGTGACCGAGAGGTGCCACTGCACCTTCCACTGGTGCTGCCACGTCAGCTGCTTGAACTGCACGACCACACAGACTCTTCACGAGTGTCTCTGAGCGTCAGAGGAAACCCCCTCCACACTCCCAGGGTTGGGTGGAGGGTGGGGAGGGGAGGGGAGGCGTTAGGAGGGTGACCGAAGGGCATGTTTCGTCAAACAGGAGGGTCTCGAGACGGGTCTCGAAGGAGACAAGGGTGGGGGGGTGGGGTGGGACGGAGTTCCAGAGGATGGGGTAGGGGGTGGCGCAGAAGCTGAAGGCTTTGAAGGTGAGACCCTAACCAGAGGATCATGTAGGAAACTCTTTCAATGGATTGCTAAGGAACCGTCAAATCGATCTTGTCCTCTGGTGCCTTCGAGGGGCACATAGATCCTTTGAGGGGAATGGGGACACATATTGTTTCTCTATAGGTGTACAGAGAGACGCTGGAGGAAAGGCAATGCCAAGTGCAATAGACTTTGCATGAAAAGGACCTTGATAGCCTCCATTAATGCAACTCCGAGGGACGAGGCAACAACAGCAGCAACAACTAGCAATTATATAGCGTCACTCACACAGGATAGTGTCCCAGAGCATCACAGGACACTTTTTATTACCTTTCTGATGAGGATTCTGGGTTTATCAGGTACACCGGAGGTTCACTCTTCTGCCTTTTGCCTCAAATGTTACGATCGAGCAGAATTAGGGGAAAATCTTCGGTAATTTATTCCGAATCATTTGGAAGATTCGGGGGGTGTTTTTCTAAAGACTGAGAAATCTCATCGGTCGGCTCTCTCCCCCCCCACCCCTCCCCACACCCTCCTACCGCGCCCCCACCCACCCTCCCACCACCTGAAAAATAGCAGATCGTAAAACCCTAGAAATTTATAGCAAAGAAGGAGACAATTCTTGCCTTTGACGGCTTTGCCAAGAGCTGACTTCATGTCGAAGCGATTTTACACAAGGGAGAGAACGTGGCAGCTTTACACAGCACGTTACATAGGAACAGGTGGAGGCCATTCAGCCCCTCGAGCCTGTTCCGCCATTTCTATTAGACGATCACGGCCGATCTGTACCTCGACTCCAATTACCTGACTTTGCCCCATATCCCTTGATACCCCGACTTGACAAACACCTCGGTCTGGAGAATTTCAATGGCCTTTTGGTAGCGAGAGAGAGAGAGAGAGAGAGAGAGTTCCAGATTTCCACTACACTTTGTGTGCAAAGTATTGTGCTCGAAAGGGAGGTTTCGAGGTGAAGAAGACCCTTTGGCCCATTTGATCTCATCCTTCTTGAACACCCAGCCTCCTGCTGTTAAAGATAAATTGGTCGCTCAATCCACGACTTTTTTGCGGGACCCTGCGTTTCACCCACAAACTACACAGTTAATTAGATTGACGTACTGTTCTGGGTTGTACTTCACCAGTTTCGTTTGGCATCTTATACACAGGGTGACCAAAAAGTTGTGGTACCATTATCATGTCTAATAAGTCTTAAAGAAATGATTTTTTTTTAGACAATAGGGTGGATATCTTGACTTTTTTTGGTCACCCTGTGTATATATATATATCCAAAAGTCTTTACCCATAGGACTATATTAGATGGTTAATAATAATATTATTATAATAATTATTATTATATTATATTATTATAGATGGTGGAAACTATATGCCATGGAGACGTTTACACATATAACCTCGGTGACAAAATCTTTCACGAACACGATGAAAGACATCGCCGGTAAAAGCCACATTTCTTTTGTGTTCAAAAAAGGAACAAAATGAATCATGAAAATCTCCGTAAGTGACGAGCTTCGATTCATCCTGTCTATATCTCTGACACATCGAGGCCGAGTAGCCCGAGCTTCCTATTTCACACGGATTGAAACATTTTTCCACGTTGAATCACCATTCGTTGCGGACCATCAAATGCTCGAAAGGGATATTTCCGGTGACCTGCACATGGGAAAGAAAATGCAGTGATCAGAATATTTCAAGAATAGGTTCCTGAGGTTTTTTTTTTAAACATCAAAAGCAAAACGAGCGACCAAATATACCAAGCGAAGAGAATTACGATCTTTTTGTCGTGACTTCTGTTGTAGACCGTGCCCGCTCTTTGTAAATACTCACTATTTCTGGAAGACTTTGTTTGTATATAAAATATTTATTAAGGACTTTTTAATGCTTGTTGTTTAGCACAGGTTAAAGTCTCCCAATCAATCACGTTTACCTGTTAGGAAATGGCGTTGAGTCGTATTGTTAGGCAGTGGCCTTTTAGAGTGACTTAAACTGTAATAAACATTTATTTTCCCACTTCGTTTTAATTTTTGTGTCTCGGTAACTTTACTGAGGGCCTCGTTTGCCCACAAAATACACAGTCAATCCACTTTACGGTGAGCGCTGTGAACGCTTTGAGATGTCTCAACGACGTGATGAGGCACTGTATGCGATGCAAGAATTATTATTATTACTACATCGGTGTGAGTGTGTCTGTGTGCATGTGTTGCAACCAAGAGGAACAGTCATACATCTAGAGGCTGACACTCCAGGGCAAAGCTTTGCTTAATCTCCCTTTTTATTTTCCTGTTGCTCCATTTCGGTGCAATGTTGTGTAATTGTGCACCGACTTGGCTCGAGTCTAGTCCTACGCGCTCGACAGAATGCCTGTTGAACCGTGTCCATTTATCCTCAACCCATTTGTCCTTCAGTGGATCCCTGTAGGGCCGAAACGTGGGGTAATAATCCCTTAAAAAATGTAATAAAAAAATGTGGTCACTCAATCCCACGACTGTTTGTGGAGACGCTGCTGTGTGCAAATGGCTGCCGCGTTTCGCCCACAAAATACAGTCGATTCACTTTATATTCTGCGAAGCGTTTTGAGACGTTTTGAAGACCGTATAAGGCGCTGCATTGAATGTAAGGATTATTATTATTATTATTATTATAAAGCCTCCTGATCTGGTCTATCTGACTTGCTCAGCCCTCATATCCCTGAAACCTTCAAGACAACGTATTGTCCACCAATTCAATCAAGTCTCACGTTTATGGTATCAACACTCCCACCGGATCTGTGTGAAAAATGCTACGATGGAATCGAAGGCCCAAATGAATTCTTTTAACTCATCGCGTTTGAGTTAGTGGGGCTGACTGCCGATTTTAATCAGTACCAGAGCAATGTTCCATGATTTGGACGTGAGCTGGATTTGCGTTCATTTACTTTAACTTCTGTTGATGATTAGTAACCAAACGGGGGGAAAAAAAATCTCCTCCAGCGTCCTGCCAGTGGATGGGGAGGGGAGAGTTCAAATCTATTAAGCAGCAGTTTTTTGTTTCGGGATAATTAATTACAGAGAGAAAACTGTTGTCTCTTGTGAAATTGCCTTACATGTCAGCTTGGCTCAGGCAGTAGCACTCTCGCTTCTCAAGTAGAAGGTTCAAGCTCCTCGTCAGGACGTAAGAGCATAAAGAATTTGCCGGGCAAAAGAAGCCCAAGTTTCATCCAGTTCGCCTTCCATCGTGCTGGCAGTCGCTTGACATGTCCTGTCCCAAACTATATACTGCATCCTGAGGCTTTGAGTTCACAGTCTAAGCTGACGCTCTAACGCAGTGTTGGGGGAGCGCTGAATTATTGGAGATGTCGTCCTTCGAATGAGACTTTAAACTGAGGTCCCGTCTGCCTGTTGAGTTGAGCCTTTCCGTGTCTTTCCATTGCCCGAGAGCTCAATCGGCGAAAGGCACATTAATGAATTGATATTAATAATCAATCAATGCACATGAGTGCTGAGCGCAGAAAAAAAAGTGGGGAAAATTCAGGCCCGGAAAAATTCTTTGTCCACTATTGCGGACACCTTGCTGAAGAGACTAACTATGTCCTGGTTCCAAATTGCTGCAGCCTGCAAGCGTGTGGATACAGCAAAATAATACCATTAGCCTACCAGCCTCAATGAAAGAATGACAACAATTACAACGCAGAAGGACCATCGAGCCGACATTGTTTCAACCGGAGCAAACTGCTTTTGCTGCTCTCCGTCCAACCCACCTCCTTCCTTGCTTGACGTCTAGCTCCACCTTTGTGAAGCCCTCCGAGACCTTATCCTACGTCTTACGTGAATGCAAATCGTTGCTCCAGTCCCAATTCCCCGTGACCTCTTAACGTTATTCCCCTTGAAATGCTTCTCCAATTCAATTCCCCATTTTAAGAAAAAAAAGTGTTCTTTTGCTCACACTCTCTAATAGCCCCTTTGTGGCAAAGCATTCCATGTTCTAACAACCCTCTGTGTGAAAAAGATTCTTCCAACTTCCCTTGCGCTACAGTGAAAATCTTGAATTGACCAATTTACGCACCGGCAGGAGTAATCTTGCAATATTTATTCTCAGAATTCTGAATACGTTCATTAAATCCCCTCTTAATCTCCGCTGTTCCAATGGATAGTCCCAATTTTGTATGGCGAGCTTGAGAAGTTTCGCCCATAAAATATACAGTCAATTCCCTTCACAGTATACCTTGTGCAGTGTTTTGAGAGACACCTTGATTGCTTTATCTAATGCAAAGATTATTATTATTATTATAATAACCCATCATCCCTGGCATTTACTTTATGAATCCACAAACTGTTCTCTTTCCAAAGCTCTGATATCTGTGTATAATAATAATAATAACCCTGACATTTGACACAGCGCCTTATCACGTCTTCGAGGCGTCTCAAAGCGCTTCGCAGGATACGCTATAAAGTGAATTGACCGTATAGTTTGTGGGCGAAACGCGGCAGCCGATTGCGCACAGCAGCGTCTCCCCCCTCGCAAACAGTCGTGGATTGAGTGACCAAATTTTTACTATTATTATTTTGAAGGGATTATAACCGCCAGGAAAAGCGATCCGCCAATCGACTAACAACCGGGTTCCTACTTACCGCTGGGTAAACAGAGCCGCGCGTGTGGGGGAGTAAGGAAACTTGCCCAACATTTTGCCCTGACCTGACCCGCTTGGGAATCGAACCCGGGTCCTCTCGCTCGCGAGGCGAGAGGGCTCTAACCGCCGAGCCACGGGGCTCTGGGTATAACGCAGCGCACGTAACACTCCCA